TCGCGGTCAACTGAGTCGAAGGTTCCTTTCAGGTCAAGGAACACTGCGATCGTTGGCCGACGGTGGATGTGCCGCAGCTCAAGGATCTGACGCAACGTAAAAATCTGATCAATACATCCACGGCCAGGCCGGAATCCGGCTTGCTATTCACGGATGTTGGTCTCTCTTAAAGGCGTCAGACGTCGAAGTATAACGGAAGCTAGCACTTTGATGACGATACGGGTTTTACCGAGATTGACACTGTACCATTATAAAAGATCTAGCTATTTGCAACAGAAAGCATTTCCAAAGAAAATACGAAAGATCGTACAGTACCCGTGATCGGGATTATGGAATGATATATAGTTTTACTTACGTTGAGCACTACGGATGAGGGATATTCTCTATTAAAGATGTGAACACACAATCTGGTGGTAAGTTACAAGTTGTGTTTAAACATACCCACCTTTGTCTAACTTCTGCCAAATCCTCCTTGGCCAGATCACATTCAGTTCGAGCCAAAGACGCCCGAAGTGAGGCCTCCTCGACGCGCTGTTGGGCGTTGATCAGTTGATTATTCAGTTGCTCCAGGTCAGCGTTCCCGGATCCCAGATCATTTTGAACGGCATCGTCAGATCGAGTTGAACTTCCGTTCACGGGATCCAGATTCGAAAGTGTCGGATCGACGGTGTGCGAATTGCGAAGAGTGTGAAGAGCCTGGAGTAAGCGAAATAGACAGTGACATTAGACCCGGTTGGGAAATGCGATTTCTCTTTGTTTGCTCTAAAATCGCAGTCTGAGTTGACAATCAGATTCAGTGTTATCACCATAACTATTATTAGTTGAGTGTCGACACCATTCCCACTAACCGCAGACCGTGCAAGCTGTTATAAACGGAAGAATGACCGTAGCCATTTTGTTCCATCATCATCAGCATCGTACCGCGAGATACAATGAAGCGAACTTTACTGATCGCTGCTAAGCTCTCAATGTACACAAAGTANTAGGTGAAAAAGTACTGGATGGATAAGGACTGGGCCTAATTGGAGGTAAAGAAAGTGAAACTCTTTAGTCAACACTGTGCACAACATAACTGTGCATACATCGCTTTTCAAACAGTCTGGCTTGATAAGAAATGACAACAAAAACGCCACTGTTGTTGGCTCAATGTCATATACCTCAGTGTCTCGGACCAACCAGTTGCAGTCTTTTGAACTCCGTCTTCCAAGCTGGAGTACGCGTCATCCAAGAGAGGCACAAGTTGAATGCTCGACAGAACTAGAAGGATTTACAGAATATCGCATTTCTTTGGCTATGCACCGTTACACCATATTTGTTGAATAAATTCGGAAATGTTACGGAGTTAAAGTGATAGTTCTGATCCACACAAGGAAGCAGATAACCAAAACAAATAATTATTTCGGGCCATAGAAATTATAAAAAGATTATTTAAGTATTAACTCACTTTTACTTTATAGGCGTTATATTCTGATTGCAAATGACTGAAACGTCTAAGTGCGGAATCGCGTTCTTCTTTCAAATTGTCCAAAGTGACACGCAGACGACACATTTCTTCCTGACTTAGAAGCAGTGCCGAATCAGTTTGTTCTTTTGCGTTGGCTAGCTCTTCCAACTCTCTCGTACGGTCTTCTAATTCGTCCATGAGGCGTTGTTTTGCATTTTCTACATCTTCCAGGTTAGCAGCTGTTTTCTGTTGCTCCGTCGCATCCATTTTGAGACGGATTAATAATTGTTTCATGCGATTCATTTTTTCATCACGTTTCTGTAACTCGTCTTGTAGTTCTGTAACTGTAGTTTCTGCATCAGATGCGCGCTTGTTTGCCTCCTCAAGTGCGACGACAGTAGCATTTAGGTGTTCTTTGATTTCGTCCAGTTTATAACCAGAATCAACACGTTCGTTAGATGCATGTTTGTCGGGAAATTCAGTTGTCGCGGTTGCCTGAGTGCCCGAAACAGAATCGACTCGAATTTGAACCTCGTGATAAAGGGCGTCTAACAGACCTGTCAATTCATAACCAGAAACTTGATTTTCGCTAGGGCTTAGTGCATGTGCAATACTTAACCAGTTCACGGTCTTTTCATCAGTCGATGAGTCCAATTCTCCAATTAGAACCATAACGGACGAACAGAAGTTCGAATAGATTGAAACTTCTTCCGATAGCCGGTCGCAAGTTTCCCGAAGATCAGAGATTTCAGTTTCTTTGTCACGAATCAAATGATCATAATCCGCAGCTTGGAGCTCCAGCTTTTGGCTCCAATCTATCATTTGTAATTTGGCTCTATCCACTTGTTCCGCTGCATATTTTTCAAGATCGTTAACTTTAACTTCCAGCATTTGCAGGCGAATAACATCATCGGTACGGTCTACTGGAACATCTGATTCGCCTATTTCTTTGGAAGTCGATCGATCCGTTACATTCAAAGAATCTACCGCACAAGGTTCATACATAGAGCTATTCTCAACCAGTGGAGTTGGAAACTTTTGAGCAGAAGGCAAGTCGAAGTGAGTTTGCTCATCCACTGTTGATAAAACTCTGTACACGTTAGGATCATTTGTGATTAAACCAGAACCTTCCGTTTTGAATATGCGATCGGTGGAATTCAGTGATCCATATGAAGATATTATCTCAGCACAGGAATCCAACAAACACTTCAATTCCAAACGATTTAAATCCTCGGTTGCAAAGAGCGGTTGTAAATGCGTGAGGCAGTTGCGACACAATTTTGCCAGAGAATAGGCATCAAATAGAGATAAATCCAGACCAGATAGGTTCACCAACTGAGAGCGATCCTCGGGAAGTGTGCGATAGATCTGAATTCCATCTATCAATGGCGTTGGCTCATGTATTGAGGAGTGTGAAGTAATTGCAGAGTTAATCGGAGCATCCAGCTGATCGTGAACTTCAGACAACTTAGTGGAAAGTTCGTTATTGTGTGCCTCTTGTTCTGTCAAACGTTTCCGGGTCTCCGTTTCGAGCCGTTCTAAATCATTCAGTTGTTTTTCGTAGTCTTTCTTTAAAGTACTATGTTCCAATTTCAAGCTATTTAACTGAGCTAATAAATTTTCTTCGTTTGCCACTCTGTCCTGAAACAACTGTTCATTTTCTTTAAATTGAGAAAGCTGTTCCGAAACGACTGATAAGTCCAAATTTAATTTTTTTATTAAAACTTGACTGTTTTTCTCTCGTTCTTTTGACTCTGCCAGTTGTACCATTAGTTGATTAAGTTCATTCGATAATTGACCAAATGCATGGTTCTTTTGTTGCAGCTGGGTAACACGAGCTTCTAGCTCAGATTCAGTTGCCCGTAGTTTCTCTTCCAACTCAGTACTGTCACCGTTTTTCTCCCAACTAAGATGTTGGTTTTGCAGTTGCTCCCGGAGAGATGTATTTTCTTGTTCAAGTTTTTTCAATTTTGTGGACAATACCTCTATTTCAGAACTCAAATTAGAACCGTTTTTCTTCTCTCTAATCACGATAGCCTTCAATTTGAGCACACGTTCTTGTTCAGTTTTCAACCGTTCCTGTAGCACAGAAAGTTCGTTTGTCTCGTCCATGGTCTGAAAGATTAAACAGTATGATTATTACGCAGTAGCAGTTCAACAATGAAAAGAGAAAAAGGCAAAGAGAGAACAAAACCCTCCAACGTGAAATAACTTTCGTCGTTTGGTTACAAGTCAGACATAATAGAATGCGATTGCCCCATCGTTTCATACTGTCTTCTCCCTCTCAACTGTGACCTCGAACAAGTAAATCCCCTCTGACCTTCTCTGCGATCCGATTGATCATTTTCCGCGATTTTCGGCACTTGAAGTCCCTCACCCAAAAGCAAGACTGTCTGATTACCGGCTTGTACCTTTTTCATGCTCTTTTTGTCACGTACGTCCATCCATGTGGTGATGGCACTCCTGCTCTAAAGTCGAAGTCCACTGGGTCTGTCTAAGACTCGTGGCTGTAAACAAGATGTGGTTTCTCGCTCGGGTTAGCTGGGAAAGCACCAGGCCCCTTGTTGCAACTGAGATGTTCGACCGTCGGTCGGACCGTACTTTTTCCAATGAACCGTAACAGGTAAGAATATATAGTTTGCTTACTGCACTCAAATTGGAAACGTTTTGGTGTGTTTTTGGAGGTTTTGTGTAGGCACTGCAATTATTCTCACCACTGACATCGATTTGATGCCATATCCCATCGTTTCCGGCCAACAACCTGAACACTTTGAGCTCCAGCCTGAAATAGGGATGCCCCAATGGTTCCAGTTTTTAGCCACTGTAGCTTTCGATATTCCTGACATGCCCTCAAGACTGTTTTCGACTATGATTATCACCGTGTACCTGAATACTTCGACTATATCCAACAGATCACCACAAAGGGTGAGTGCATGTACGGGCTTCTATCGGTCCGATGTGTGAGCTTTGCCGTTGAACGGTGAAAAAGCATATACCTCGACTGGCAAGCGGTTTAAATTATTTCGGGCAACCTGTGTATTGCAATCAGTGTGTTAAGCGAAGTGATTGTAAACTTGCCTATATATTGACTTGGGTGACGGTGGCAGAGGTCGGCCCACAAGCTTTTGGGCCTGGAACATGCCAGTGAGTGACTTGAACCAATTAACTACTACCAAGGTAGAAGTAGTGGTTGATGAAGATACAGGTAAGTTGCAAGCTTTTCTAGATAGTTTGAGTACTAGTGTGACATGTTCGGTATGCGTTTTGTACCTTCACAGTGTAAAATGTTGTTACAAGATTGGGTTGGTCCAGGCCCCAACCTCACCCTGACTGGGGAAGTAATAGAAGAAGTAGACAAGTTTTGCTATCTGGGCAGCTACATCTCACCCGGCGGACGTATCACAGATGAAGTGTCGGCGCGCATACAAAAGGCTCCATTGGCATTTTCCAACTTGAGACATTTGTGGCGCCGTCGCGACATCCGATTGGCTGTGAAGGGTTAAGTAAATGTTGCAGCAGCTCGGCCAGTCCTGCTCTACGGTGCAGAAACCTGGCCACTAGGGGAACAAGATGAAAATAGATTGTCGGTGATCGAACACCGCTGTCTACGTCGCATTGCACGAGTCTCGTGGGGTAACCGGACGAGTAATGCTGAGGTCAGGCATAGAATTTTACGTAATCGTGGTCGTCCATTAGAGCAAGTAGTTGACCTCCATAGATTACGCCGGTTTGGACATGTGTTACGCATGCCACCAGATAGGTTGCCACGGCGAACGATGTTTGCCAAGGCTGGTAGCGGATAGAAAAAGATCAAGGACAATCAAATTAAGACCTGGCATGAGGGTATAAAAACCCTAACCAGGAGACTGGGTCACATAGGCCCCGTTAGGCTCCCTGGATGGGGACCCCAAGATCATGGTAACCGGTGGTTGGATACGCTGAGTGATATGGCTGAGTGCCGCAAACAATGGCGTTCATGCACCTACTCAATATTCTTGTAACTGAAGTCTATATGAATGCTCCTCTATCCTCCCCTTGAATCTGCTCTCAACATTTCAACTTTCATATTGCCCTTTTATCCAAATGAGAAACCAAAAGACAACAACCAAAACCGGCACACAAAAGTGCATGGGTAATGGTTGTAAAAACTTAAACTGAAAAAACTAAGGTAGAAAAAGCTTTGGATCACTTGTAAAATGTCTACCTAACGAAAGTGTAGGTATATGCTGTTGCCAATATTGCGCTTTGAATTTACAAAGCGGATAATCATTCGAGCAAAATCAATCACCAGGTGAATTGCCAACGCCATGCTTCGTCATTCTAAGTAAACCTGTTGGAAAACGCCAATTCAGGGAGATCGAAAACAGACTGAGAGATCAAGCGCCTTTGCGTATTCAGCACTGTCTTAATTATTTTGCTGTAAAATGAGTTGTATTCGTGAGGATCATGAAGACTAAATGGATTTTAGATTTTTTGAGCTTTTGCGAAACCAGGTGTTGAATGTGAGATAGTAGTGCGTTGGCAAATGAATTTCGGTGGCTCCTTGGGAGTTCATTCGATATTCAATAGACATGGATGAAACCCAAAGATCCAGGATTCACGTAATTTCTGCCGTTCCAACTTTCTTACGATTGGCAATTCCTCTGGTACTGTTTGACATAATGCTTCGTACATCGCCTTCCTCATATCTCCTCTGCCTCTTTCAGCTTCCATGCGTACGTTGTATATCAAATAAAGCCTAACGTTTAGGTCTTCCGCGTTCTGGTTTCTCGCGCATCCTACATTAACACTACAATTTATTCGACATACAGCAATGGATTAAATATTACGCCTAGAACGGTCCGATGTTGAACCTAGCTCACCAGATGCTACCAGGCAGTGGAACCATTCGTACAGGACTTTTCTCAGCCTCCTCAAGTCAATGGATAACTTAACACTCGACAAACTGGATATGCTGATTTCATACACATCTCCTGCTGTTTACGAACATGTCATGGAATGTGAGACCTATGAAATGGTAATAGAGACCCTCAATAACCTCTATGTACGCCCCAAAAACGAGGTCTTCGTCCGTTATATCCTCACCACAACCAAACAGGACAGTGGGCAAACGCTCGATCACTTCGTTCACAGGTTAAAGTCCCTAGCAAGAGATTCCAGTTTCAGCTTCATTACCGAGACGATGCTCTCCGAGATGAATTTATTAGTGAAATTCAATCTAACCAGGTCAGACAACGCCCAGTGGAAAATAGTTCGCTGAATTATAAAAAGGCCTTCGATCAAGCGAGAGCCCTGAAAATGGCAGAGCAGCAATTCATGTCCTACCAGAACCTTCCCACCGCATCCCACACGGCGGCTATACGCGCACCCTCATCCACTCCTCCCTCTTTCCAAACAAGTCTTTGATAGAGTGCTCTGACGATACTATCGTCGCCGTAGTCCACCCTGAGTATTTTTTCTGTGATCTCGACAAGCCTCCCCGCTCAAAGTGCCCCGCAAGAGATATTCTTTGTAAGGCTTGTGGTAAAAAGGATCACTTTCAAAGTTTTTCTCTCAAAAAGCCAACAAAGCCACTCTACATCTGACGCTTGCCCATCTATATCGGCAACTATCGCGGCTAGCTGTCCTAAGTGCCTCTGAAAATTTATCGTGGATCTCGAGGTCAATGGAGTCCCTTGTCGTGCTCTGGTCGATATCGGGAGCTCAGCAAGCTGTTTCCAGGAGCTAAGTACTCACCAATAAACGGAAGATACTCCCATTCAGAGAAACCATCACAATGGCTTCAAGTTCCCTATCCAGCAATACAAGGGGGCACTGCTTTATTTTCAAATACAAAAACCATGTATACGAACGTTGAAAACTATCCATATTTAGTGACCTATGTTCGGATGTTTTCCTCGGACATGACTTCCTCAGCCTGCACAAGAGCTTTCAAACAACATTTGGCGGGGGGAAGGTTCCGTTTACGGTTTGCTCACTCAGGCCTGCTTCCATTGTGTCCCCACCAAAAATCCCGACGATAAAGCAGGGAAGATCAGACATTCATACTCGAGGAAATAAATCGACTCCTGTCTGACGGTAACATTAAAGCCTCCAACGAGTCATGACGCGCTCAAGTACTGGTGGTCAGTAATGAGAACCACAAACGGAGAACGGTGGTGGAATATACCCAATCAGCAATTTCGCCAGCTTGGACGTATATCTACTTCCCAGAATCGACGACATCATACAGAACATATCTAAATACAGCATTTTCAGCACTCGAGACTTCGAAACTGCATACTATCAAATCCCTATTCAGGAAGGAGAAAACATTTTACTGATTTTGAGGCAAGTGGACGTTTATATCAGTTTCGTCAAATTCCCATCGGAGTTACCAAGAACGCTTCGTGGTTCCAGAGGGCTATAAATGAGATAATTTCTCTCGAAAATTTGAGAGACACGTTTGCCTACGTGGATAACATTACTGTTTGTGGGGGAAACGCAAATGAGGACGTCAGTAATCTCAGGGATTTCCTGAACGCTGCCAAAAAATATGCCTTGACTTTTAACGACGGTAAGAGGATTATAGGCGTGAAGGAAATCAAGCAGATAGCGATAACATCAAACCGGATCCTGATCGGTTGAAGCCGTTATAAGAAATGCCCCCACCCACGAATTTGAAATCTATTACTACTCGGCGAGAATTTCGAACTTTTGAGACAAAATCCATTCACTGATACACAACCAAATCTTTCCGATAACTCCGCATGTAAATACAAAGTTTCGAAAGTCTCAAGCACGAACTAGAAACGGCGAGTCTGGCGACAGTTCGCTTCAATATCCCGTTTGTCATCGAAACTGATGCCTCGCATGTGGCAATTGCTGATACTTTGAATCAGAAGGGACGGTCGTCATGTTCTTTTCTAGGACATTAACTCAAAGGGAGAGACATCATTCAGCATTTGAGAAAAAAGCGTACGCCGTAGTCGAAGCCGGCCGGAAATGGAGTCACATGCTAGTGGGCAATCATTTCAAACACATCCCCTATTAGCGGTTTTTCTTCCTTATTTTCTGAAAGCAGCACCGTGGGAGAGTCAAGAATGATAAAATCCTACGACGGAACATGGAAC